CAGAAACAAATAATTAATGAAATAAGAATAATAAATTCCAATATATGCCATACAAGTCAAAATAGGCCCAAGAATGATAAGTTTATAAGTTTTAAGTTTCGTAAGCAAACGATGTACAGTTAGTGATTCACAGTGTATTTCGCCAAAAACGGTGCAGAAACCATACTGTGAATTATGAATATTGTTCCTTAGGAAATAAAAATTAATGTAAAATATTTTAGAAAAAAAAAATATGTCCGTAGCTTTAAGTTCCGGGTCAGTTTAAGTGAAAATACGCGAAAGAAAAATATCAGGCGAAAAGCCACATGTGCTTAAAAACCTTAAGTGACTTTAAAATCATTATTCACATCAGATTTTTGCTCTTTTCTCTCTCTTCCTACCCGAGTTGCTCATCTACAAAGGGGGGTTTAGGGTTTGAAACTTCTTTGTTTGATTTCTCCATCAACAATCTTCCAAATGCAAAAGTCTACTACATGAAATTGATAGTAAACCACCCAATGAATCCATCCCACCTATTAGTTTGAGCTATAATTGCTTGTGTGAGGAGCTCTTCCCTTTCCCCTTTTCGGTTTACTATTCATCAAAGGTGAAAAATGGAGCTTTTGATGGAGCTTTACTTGGAGATGATTCTCTAGGCTTTGGATAAGTGATTAGAGGTAATAAATCTCTATTTCTATGGTTTGATTTTGTGATTTAAGTTTGAGATTTTGAAATGTATTTTTGGTGGAAAGCTTGTGATTGAAATTAGAAAGTTGTGATGTGTTAGTATTGGTAGTGATTTGTAATGTAGAAGTAGACATAACATGTATAAAATTTTTAAAAGAAATCCTATGTCTCCTCTTCCACTATGTTTCGGCCTTGATGGAGTAATGAGGGGAATGATGTGAAAAATTTTAATTCATGTATTGGGAAGGTTAATATGTTGGAGTAAGTGAAATTTTAGTGAATTAGTGAGAGTACCAAAGTAGAAAAAAATCCTATGTTATTATACCTCTATGTTTCGTCCCTAATGAACCATAGAAGAGTTTGATGTTCAAAATTTAATTGGACATACTGGATACATGCATAGGTATGTGCAAGTTGCAATTTAAGTGAAGAAAATGAATTGTAAAAGAAAAGAATCCTTGGAAGTTCCCTTAGAGATTTCGACCTATAGAGGGATTTTATGAATAGACTAAGTTACATTTTATTTAATAAAATGTGGAGCTTCCAATGCATGAGATTGATGAGTTGAAGAAGTGAAATGACTTGAAAAATTGTTGAAAGAAATATTGGCTCCCTTTATGTGTACCCACGGCCTTATGGAGAAAAATGGCATGAAATTAGGCTTGAAATTCTCATGTGGATACTTAGTTAATTTAGGGAACACTAACGATTGTAAAATGTTAAATTAAAGGAAATTATAAAGGCATGGTCTTGACTTGTAAATTGGCATAGGATTGACAAAAAATGTAAAGAAACAAAAGTAAGCGATAAAATGTATGCCTTATGTAAGAATCATGGCATAGTATCATTTTATTGATTTTTGTTGTGGATTCTTCTCTAGGTTTGCCTAGGGGCTGAAAAGGGTTCGAATCTTGTTGAAGCTATATAAGTAACTTGTGCCACAAGTAAGCGGATTGGTAAAGCTTCAAGAGGTAAGCTCTATGTTTAAGGAGTCTTTTCCTACTTGAATGCTCCACCATGGTTAGTGGACTATGGTTGGATTGTATGATTGTTTTGATGCTTTGTATAGGTGCATTCATATATAGCTATTTGATAACATGATATGACTTGTTCTGATATGATTTATGTATTGATAGTATGGTACACAGATGTCTTCTTGGGGTTCCCCTGAGATTGACGGTGTACGCCTCTGACATGTTCTGGTTCCGCTTGGGGTCCTCCCTTGGGAACATGTGCGTTGATTTCCGCTTGGGGTCCTCCCTTGGGAATGACGGCGCACGCCTCTTGTAATATCCCAAGCGCTGACGAGGGCGGGGAGTGATCGCCGGTGCGAAAGGGCATGGACAAGGAGCGGCTCGTGACAGGCTTCCAGCAGGGGGTTACATGCATAAATAAATCGAATCGACACCCGAAAGAGAGGGATTCCAAAGACTGTACAGGTATGAGACTGCACAATTTGGGATAGCTTATAAGAATTAATTGGTACTACCTATACTAACAAGATGCATCTACTTTTCGGTAACCCAGAACGAAAGAACTTCATAGTTAAGCGTGCTTGACTTGGAGAAATTCTGGGATGGGTGACCTCCTAGGAAGTTTTCCCGGGAAGTGTGCGAGTGAAGAAAAAGCACACTGAAAAGTCTCGTGTTAGTATGTGGGGATAGTCATTGATTCTTGAAGCGGCCAGGCATTACAAGTTGTATCAGAGCAGAGCCTCTCTTCCAGTACGGTGTGGTTCGAGGACGAACTAGGCGGAAGCTGGTGGGCATGTAATATCCCAAGCAATGACGAGGGCGGGGAGTGATCGCCGGTGCAAAAGGGCATGGATAAGGAGCGGCTCCTGACAGGCTTCCAGCAGGGGTTAGATGCATGAATAAATCGAATCGACACCCGAAAGAGATTCCAAAGACTGTGTAGGTATGAGATTGCACAGTTTGGGATAGCTTATAAGAATTAATTGGTACTACCTATACTAACAAGATGCATCTACTTTTTGGTAGCCGGAACGGAAGAACTCCATAGTTAAGCGTGCTTGACTTGGAGCAATTCTGGGATGGGTGACATCCTGGGAAGTTCCCCGGGAAGTGTGCGAGTGAGGAAAAAGCACACTGAAAAGTCTCGTGTTAGTATGTGGGGATAGTAATTGATTCTTGAAGCGGCTAGGCATTACACCTCTGATAAGATATGGATATATGTTTTGTTCTGTTATGATATCTGTTATATGTTGCACTTGTATACTCTGTATCTGACCTTCATGCAGGAGTGAGCCAGGGGTATGGATAATTCTCTATAAACCTGGAGCTTATTGAGATTGTTATCTCACCCCTCTTTGGGGACATCATTTCAGGTTCTCAGATTCCAGGTGAGCCCTCACTAGGCAGGGACGCGACCCGAGGCTGAGGCGTTTGGACAGACCAGATTTTGAGTAGCTGTAGGCTACTACTATTTTGGAGTGTATTTATGTTATTCAGTACTTTAGCATTTTGTGGTTCATGATGTCTGATCCTTTATTTTGTATATGGCCTGTATATGTTTTGTACATGTCTTTCAGTACGATGCATGCACATTTGTGTATTCAGGCATGTCGATATGACGATGTATTATTCAGTTATGTTTACGTGTTGGATTGCATGCTGTTAGATATAGTGGCACAGAGCCAAGTTATGCATGCGCCCATGGATGGGTATATGATTATATTTGGATGTCTGATACTTCTGAATTTATATGTTGTATAAACTGTCTATCAGGAACTCTTGAGAGTGGGATTGGAAAATCTCCAGTTGTCCGAATTACAGAGGTTACTCTGTCCGATTTTCGTCTCCGCCGAATAAGAATTAAACTAGAAAAAGAAAAAGTTAGCTCATATTTTTGTAAGTTAAGTCTTCCGCTGTTTCTGTTTGTATCATATGCATGTTAATTGAACCGGCTCGAGACAGGGATGTTGCAAAGACAAGTTTGCCTTCTCAAAAGAGCATGGCAGAAGGGATCACTAGCAAAAGTGATTTACACGATACAGTATTTCCCTTTCTGGATATTCCCCTGACTCAGAGCAAAGTATCCTAAAATTTCTAACTTCGCTCAACACTGCTTTGTGAGGGTTTCATCAACCAAGTGGTCTTGGGATGAGGTTGCAAACCAAAGAGTTTTACGAAATCAGAGCATTAAACCAAGAAACAACTCAGTTCATTAAGGAAAACAATGTTTTATTACAAGAAAATCGTAAGACAAAGAGGGTTACTTCTATCTCACCCTCAACCTACTTAAGAAATTTAGCTCATAAGGAGCATGATAAAAACTAGCAAAGGAAAGATTTTCAATTCTAAACTGTTTACTGCAAGAGGTTGAAGGTACTCTCGTTATTGCCCTATCCAGTTTTAGTAAAGGTATTAGCTTGCAATCCCAGCTGCTGCTTAGATCAAAGGTTCACATTTTCTCAAATTCTCTCCAATCAGAGCATTGCTCCATTCCAGCTTAGCCCTAATATACTATGATCCCCTTCTTCTTCTGCACAAAATTCTGAGCCGATTCTGCACAGTGAGGTGTTGTTCCCACATTCTCTTCTGTCGCTGACGTGTCTGTATCCGATTGGTTGCTTTTTTTGCTCCCGTACTGTAACTGCTTTCTTGTCTCCTTTTTTGTATTTTATGTTTTCTTTTCCTCCAAGTTTCTTTCTTTGCATAACCGAACTTCTTCTTGGTTTGGATCTTAGATTTCCTGCAAGAGTAATTCAACCCATTAAGCTCACAATTAATACATCTAGTCAAATTACTCCAGTACTATACTAATTCCCAAATTTACTATGGCTCCAACCCAATTTATCAATAAACTGTATTTAATAGTAAAAATTGAGTTAGAGCATTTATTTCACAATGAAAATTTGGATTTGAGGAGCAACTAACCTATCAATGAAACTCAATTTTTGAGGCCCATCAACTTTCAAAGATCCTTTTAGAAAGCCCATTGATTAATATATCTTCAACATTTACTCCTTTATCTTTAGTAAAATGCTTGTCAACTTTCACAAGGTTGGTTTTCTTTTAAAAAAAAATGAGTTGTGAGTAATGTGATGCTTTCTGCCAAGTCAATACTTAGTCGGATGAATCTGCACGCCACTTTCACAGCATCTTCCACGAACCATAGTGGAAAGAAGCAAGCAAGAGTGGATGACTGGGAGAGAAAGTTTTCCTTGATGATATATGAGTGCCTTGAAACAAAACAGCTGATCACCACTTTGCTTGATGAAAAGCTGAGCTATGATTTCTCCTTAATAAAAATGATGAGTTTGTTTACAATTCAGGTGCTCTGTTCTTGATTAAGATGTGATGATTGTGAGTTATAGTTTATGGGCAGGTTTGATCTTGGTGTTTGATAATGGGGTACTGTTTTTCTTGGTTTAGCGCATTTGCTTTGACCAGATTCGTTTAGCAACCTTGTTTTTCTTGCTCTCATATCATCATGACACACAAAACACTACCTCATCCTTCTTCCTTCACCTATGAATGGACTTATGATGTCTTCCTCAACTTCAGAGGTGTTGATACGCGCCACAATTTCACTACTGATCTCTACAGTTCTCTTACTGAAAGGGGTATCCACACCTTCTTTGATGAAAAAGGACTTAACGCAGGTGAAGAAATCACACCATCTCTTTTCCAAGCCATTCAAGATTCTAGGATTTTCATTGCTATTTTCTCTAAGAAATATGCATTCTCAACATTTTGTTTGCGTGAACTTGTCATGATCCTTGAGTGCTCAAAGGCACAAGGACGGTTATTTTGGCCTGTTTTTTATGATGTGGACCCATCACAAGTTCGGCACCAAAGTGGAACTTATGCAGAAGCTTTGGCTAAACATGAGGAGAGGTTCAAGGATGACAAGGATGAGGTGAAAAAATGGAGGGATGCTTTACATCGAGCTGCTAATATTTCTGGATCTCATTTCCAACACGGGTATCGCACACCACCCTTTTTTTTGTTGTTTGCACAAAAGAAATAGCATGTATACTGTGCATGAACTAATTAAACACTAATTCAACATTAATTTTGCATAATGTGCAGTTCTCAATCAGAATATCAGTTTATTAGAAAGATTGTTGAAGAAGTCTCTAAAAAGGTCAATCGCAGTCCGTTATATGTTGCTGATAAGCCGGTTGCATTAGAGCCTCGAGTGCTAGAAGTGACATCTCTCCTAGGACTCGGGTCTGATGAGGGAGTCAACATGGTAGGCATTCATGGAATCGGTGGGATAGGGAAATCAACACTTGCTCGTGCTGTGTATAACTTGATTGCTGATCAATTTGAAGGTTTTTGTTTCCTTGATGACATGCGAGAAAGGCCAATTAATAATCATGGTCTTGTACAACTCCAAGAAACACTGCTCTCTGAACTTCTCGGGGAGAAAGATATTAAAGTGGGAGATGTTAACAGAGGAATTCCAATAATAAAAAGAAGGCTTCATCGAAAGAAGATCCTTTTGATTCTTGATGGTGTTGACAAACCGAAGCAGTTAAAGGTACTTGCAGGAGGACAAGATTGGTTTGGCTCTGGCAGCAAGATCATAATCACAACAAGAGACAAGCATTTGCTAGCTGCTCATGGGATTGTTAAATCGTATGAGGTTAAACAGTTAAATGATGAACAAGCTCTTGAATTGTTTGGTTGGCATGCCTTTAAAAATAACAATATTGATCCAATTTATGAGGATATTTCAAAACGTGCAGTTTCGTATGCTCATGGCCTTCCATTGGCTTTGGAGGTGATAGGTTCTCACTTGTGTGGCAGAAGTTTAGATGTATGGAAATCTGCATTAGATAAATATGAAAGATTTCCTCATAAAGAGATCCAAAAAACACTTGAAGTTAGCTATGATGATTTGGACGATGATGAGAAGGGAATTTTTCTTGACATTGCTTGTTTCTTCAATTCTTACGAAATACGCTATGTCAAACAAATACTATACTTGCATGGTTTTCATGAGGAAAATGGTATTCAAGTGTTGACTGACAAATCTCTCATAAAGATTGACCGCAATGGTTTTGTGAGGATGCATGACTTAATTCAGGACATGGGCAGAGAAATCGTTAGGCAGGAATCAGCATTGGAGCCTGGCAGACGCAGTAGATTATGGTTTAACGAAGACATTGTTCATGTTTTGGAAGATGATACGGTATTTTAAAAAACACCTCGTTGGTATTTCTAATCTTCGATGTCCTTTATTTAGGCATTTTGATTAATATGGATTAGATTGCTGGATTCTTAGTTCTCTGTTCTCAGTTTCAACTGTTTGATGAAATTTGAAAATTTGACCAGATATATATGTGGATGACATTCCTAAAGTTTACATTCTATTTAACTTATGATTTGGAGTTGATAGGGAACTGACACAATTGAAGCCATCATCATGAACTTGTGCAAAGACAAAGAAGTGCAGTGGAGTGGAAAAGCCTTCGAGAAGATGAAAAACCTGAGAATTCTTATAATCAGAGATGCACGCTTTTCTAGAGGACCTCAGAATCTACCAAATAGTTTGAGAGTGCTCGATTGGAGTGGTTATCCATCACCATCTTTACCATCTGATTTTAATCCAAAGAATCTTGTGATACTTAGTCTGCCTGAAAGTTGCCTTAAAGCATTTAAACCACTCAAGGCAAGTATTCTCTTAAAATATTTTGTATCTTTTAACAGTTTTTGTTGGCCTTCAGCACTGATATGTATTTCCATTTGCAAACTCATAATTTGAGTCATCAACTTTTGTTTTGTAGGTGTTTGAGTCGTTGAACTTTATGGATTTTGAAGGTTGCAAGTTCTTAACCGAACTACCTAGCTTATCTGGAGTACCAAATTTGGGGGCACTGTGTCTTGATAACTGTACTAATTTAATTGAAATTCATGGTTCGGTTGGATTTCTTGATAGACTCGTGTTACTGAGTGCTCAAGGATGCACCCAACTAGAAATTTTGGTACCCTCCATCCACTTGACATCTCTAGAAACTCTGGACTTGAGGGGTTGTTCAAGTCTTGTGAGCTTCCCCGAAGTTTTGGGAATAATGGAGAATATAAGAGATGTTTATTTAGACGAGACTGCCATAGTTGAATTGCCATTTTCAATTGGAAATCTTGTGGGGCTCCAACGATTGTTCTTGAGGGAATGCAAAAAGCTGAACCAGCTGCCAAATAGTATCCGTATATTGCCTCAACTGGAGATAATAATGACTTACGGTCGTAGGGGTTTTCAATTATTTGAAGATACAGAACAAGTGAGCTCAGAAATGTTCCCAAAAGCCATGCTTGTTTTTGATACAGGCAATTTGTTGGTACTTGATGTGTATTATCATAACATAAACCCCAATAGTGTTGTCATAGAATTACGTCCACCTCCTGCGGATCCTGATTTTGAATCCTGGAGGGATTCTTCCTTCTACAGAGAGCAGGAAAAGTCAATGTGTTTCTGGTTCAGAAAGAAATTCCCCAAGATAGCTCTGTTTTATTTTACAGAACCTCGCTTGTACGAAGACAATGCGGTATTGGATTTCAAGTTCAGTGTAGTCATCAATGGCACTAAGCAATTCAGTTCTTCATGTAACTACATATTTTCCACACGAGGAAGGAAGACACTAACTCTTTGCTGTGATCTACAATGCAAAGTGGCGAGGGCATTTTCAGAGCATGAATGGAATGAAGTAGAGATTTTTTGGGAGTTAGAATACCTCTTGCCATGTGATTCTGAAAGGGTAATGGGGACCCAGTGCGGGATCACAACATTGGAAGGTGTAGATTTACCCTACATTCATGTCTACAAAGAAAACAACATGGAGGATATCAAAAGCGAAGAACCATCTCATCTCCCTCCGCCAGCCTTACAGAGAATTCAAAAGTTGATAATAAAGGAAACAAGTTAGGGATTCCGACCCGTTGTCGAATCTGCATCATCTTATAATATATTTGATATGGACAATGATGATTTTCCCCCCATAGTTTATTCTATGAAATTCATGTCACACCTAGGTCTTTAATTTTTATTTTTTTTTGGTAATCTTAGGTCTTTAATTTTATGTATAATTAATCTAACTATTGTAAGGTGAAGAAAATATTCAAACTTGGTTGCGATTTCATTTTTTTCTCTCTCTCTCTAAATCCATCTATGCCATTGAATGCATACCACTAAAACTTTCTAAAAGTTATGATTAATATCACGGGACTAATATTCATATATGCATAAAAGAGGAGGTTAGTTTCAACTCCGTGAATTCGTTATATAAACTTCAAATACAATATTTGTTAGGGATTCAAGCTTAATGTTAATAATTAAAACCAATTTTAATTATGTGCCAGATTGCATATTTATTTTGTTGACCCAAGTATATATATCAAAGGTAGAAAAATGAATATTTTTTAATGGAAAGAGAGAAATGGAATAAGAGTGTGTATATATGACGACGTTCATTAACCCTTTTTTTCTTTTCTTTTCTTTTTATTATGTGTCAACACTTATTTTTGTCTTTGATTATAAATACTCATCTTTTTACCAAAATTTTTATTAAAAAATTATGGTAAAAAAAGGGTCACAGATGCGAATCATTTTTTATGATTTTGTTGTCTTCCTTTTTGTAAAAAATTGTAGGCTGCATGAGCTGCTTACAGGTGGGCCATGGACATCTAAGTTGAAATAGGCAGAAGCAGAAGCAGAAGCACATATAGAAAAAAGAAAAGAGTGGAGAAATTAGAGGAACAAAAAAAAAACTATTCCTCCGGCACACACGTTGTTGTATAGTATTTTTTTCCTTCTTTATTTGCTCTTCGGTCATAATTTTCAGCTGTTGAGAAATTTGAGGAACAGGTATTAGCGTGATCTCTTGGCTGAAACGAAGACTCGCGGGTGGAGAGGATCTTTGAAGATATGAAAAGGCGGGAAAAGAGGATTCTAGTCTTTACAAAGGAGACCAAGTTCACCGTTCGGAGAGACTTCTAGGTTTTTGGAGAGAAAATGCTGAAGCAAAGTGAGGACTTTTTTTCAGCTTCTGGTGGCTTGGTGAGAAAATGAGAAGACAGAAAAATATGAGAAAAACAGAAGAAGAGGGGTAGAAAAACGCCAAGTTCCCTGCACCAAAAATACCCATAAACTTACAAAAAAGAGTAAATACATTTTTTGGTTCTCAGCAAATTTCATGATACCCGATTTAGTCCTTAGCAAATAAAAATGCTCATTGTGATCCCTAAAAAATTCAAAATGGATCTATTTAGTTGAAATTGTGGTCCCTCACAAATTCAAAAAAGACCCATATTAGTCCCTAAAAGGACTAAAATGGGTCCATTTTGAATTTCTTAGGGACCACGATGAGTCTTTTTATTTGCTAAGGACTAAAGCGGGCATCGTGAAATTTACTGAGGACCAAAAATGATATTTACTCTAAAACAAACATAAACTTTCAAATCCAACACAACAAAGTCACACCAAACACTGTGCACGCCCCCTTGCCACCGCGCACACCAGAGCACCAGTGTTGCCTCCACCGCGTCATAGGCTTCACTCCAGTGTTAGTATATGGGTGTCCTAGAGACAATTTTTTTTGATTAAATAAAGACATAAGATGTGGACCTTTTGTCGCAAATAAATAATAAGCACTCTTTATCCTGTTTCATATTTTGTCTCGATATTATTGTTAATATATTATGAATAAACTAGATAAACTCCTTGGAATAGAACAGGTATTTCTTGAGTATCTGTGATGAGATCACGATTATGAGGATTCAAGGATACCGCACTTTTATTCCTAATTCTATGTTCCTAGTCTAGAGACACTGAGAATGGGGATCAGTGACCTCGGGTAAGACTAGCACGACTTATCTACTTGTATTTAGATACAAGGTAAAGACCTTATCTGCTATAGATATGGAGATGTCTTAGCTAAAGTCGTGGATGGACCTATAAGGGTATAGCTCGCACTGAACAGACCCACAAAGAGACTCTATGAGGAAATCTCACAGAGAGTATCATTAGAGTAGTCTCTTTATATTTGGGTATGTCTTTCCTTAGACCAGAAGTTATTACCTAGATTGTGTTCTAGAAGGCACGCTTTGACGGTATACCTCGTCTGCCTGAAACATGGAGACTCATAGGTACACTGTTGGGCTTGTCCTGAAAGAGCACAAGGCTAGGGTGATAAGCTGAAGGAATTCGTCAAATCTCTGTGAGAGATTAGGTTATCTATAAACCGGAGAAATCGGGATGACATTTACAAGGACTCAGGAATCTATGCATAGTAAAAAAAGTCATGAGATGATCTGCCGTTAGAGTCAGTAAATTGAAGATTTCCAATTTTGAATAAAGCTTACCTTAAATCGCAAGGGTTGATACGTTTCCTTACCCTAGGTTTAATGAGGAAGGTAACCGAGACGAAAGGAAATACATACGGCAACCAAATATGTGTAATAGGATGATTATGTCATTAACCTAACTAGCTCTGGGGCAACAAAGCATTGCTAGTGCTCTGTGTTGTCATTAGATGGGTTGTGGGCTTGTTGGGCCCAAGCCCATTTATGTCAGTGGCTATGTTGGGCCTAATGGGTCACACACTAACACCTTATTGTCATGATAATATAGCATTAAAGGTATTGGGCCTAATAATGGTTGTTAGCCCAAGAAGAAGTTTGAAGCCCACCAAAATGGAAAAGGGCGCATGGATCATGTAATGGGCTTGGATGGTCCAAGACATTACTAATTAATTTAATTAGTTAAATTAATTATCAAATATTTAAATTTTCAATTTTGAATTTGAATTTTGAATTTTTCAAATTAGAATTTTGAAATTCGAATTTTGAATTTGAAATTTGAAATTTGAATTTAGAATATAGAATTTAGAATTTAAATTTAGAATTTAAATGTTTGAACGTTTGAATTTAAATGTTTGAATTTGAATTTGAATTGGCTATGAAAAGTTGTTTCATAACAAAAGGATAATATAAGATCTTGTTGGAACAAATCCCAAGTATCAAGAGGAGATCTTTAGGCATCATCCAAGGCTGATTTGGGGCGCTGATTTTGGGGCTTGTGATGGTCATAGGATCAACCAAATGAGCTCCAATCAGATTTGGTTTGTTGAGAGAATAAGTGAGTGAGTTGGCTCAAGTTTGAATGCAACTGCTCAATATATCTGAACTGTTTTGAGGCTAAATGGGGCGCACCATATGGCTGGCCATATGATGGTTGTTAAGTCAGATTTTTGTTGAGATATGCACTTGAGATCATGAGGATATGATAGGAAGTTGTTGGTAAGATTTGATTTACAACAACTCCACTCATTCCTCTCCTAGTGTGCGCTACATAGGGCTGATTTTTGAGTGAAGAAATCAGATTTTTATTCACTCATTCTCTCATCTCCTTTGGTCATCCTTTTGTGAGGTTTTTCTTAAGAGAGTTTTGAAAATTACCTAGAACTTTCTAAGTGAATTCCATGCGCCACTTTTGTGTTTTTTCTTGCTGAAAATTCACTCAACTAAACACCTTGAAACCTTGCCTCCTACCTCTCCATTAGGGACGCCTAGCTTGCCTCCCTTGGTGTTCGTTGGTGGCCTTGAAGAAGAGTTCTTCCGTCTTGACAAAGGGTGGTGTGGATCAACATTAGAGGGCTTGTATCTTTAAGTCTCACCTTGATCATCTTCAAGTTTTGGAAAGCAAACAAGGTAACATCCATGTCCTAAAGCATGTTTCTTGATATGGTATGTGTAATTCCGCTTTGAAAATTTTGTTTTCATCCTCACATTCCTACGGCCTTCAAGGCCATTTTCTTTCAAGTGGTATCAGAGCCCGGTTGCTTTACCATCGGCGGGTGATTGTACTTTGTTTGTAAAAACTTGTTCCTTACGGTCAAAAAATCTTTAAAGAATTAAAGCATGAATCATAGCATATGGATTTTGAAATACTGTGCTTTAAATTGTTAAAGTTCTTATTTTATGAACATGTTAATGTGATTGCTATGTTCATATATCTGTATGTGTTCATGGTTTTGTTTCTTTTTCTTTGTGAAAGTTTTGAAAAGAAACACCTTTTTGAAAGGGATGACTCGGCCATGAGGGGTACTTTGAGTACCTTGATTGTTTTCCTATTTTTCTCTATGAATTGTTCCATGAGAATGACATGAAATTTTTGTGAAATTTTTTATCATATATATGGATATGTGATTCGGCCATACAAGGTGTGGTGTCTACATGTGTGGTTTAATTTTGTGTTCTTTGAGAAAGAGTCATCAAAATTTGAATTATATTAATTGTTATATAATTCGGCCATTAAGAAAATTTGAATCATGATTCTTGCAATGATATTTTAATTGTTAAAATGATAAGACGTATGGATGAACATGTTATATAAAATTTGATATTATGTGCTTGCAAGTTATTTGAATTTTCAAGTGCAAATTGGAAGGGGATGGTCATGGTGCCCGAGTTTGAATTTCAAATTTTATATTTTAAATTAAAGGTGTAATTTTGCTCTATTTGAATTAAAATGTAAATTTGAATTTTAAATTTTGAATATTCATTTGTCCCTCCAAAGATGTTTTGGAGTTTCTTTAATCATTTTGTAATTAGAGAATTAGGCTAGTGGCGTTTAGACGACAAGGAGTCGTGGCTTGAGAAGCAAGAAGGACGAATGCACGAGCACCATGACCGTCTCAAATAAAATTGTTTTATATGCATGTATGCTTTTATATTTTAAAAACGACTAGTATGCATGAAATTGGACAAATCGCGTTTGTATGTATTATTATGCACGTCCAATTACGACTAGTGTAATCCGATAGATGTTTGACATAGGATACGACTAGCATGATAATTATACCTATGCGTTTGATGAGACTTAATAAACCCTAAATAAAAGGAACCCTTAAAAGGAATAAAATTATTAAGCATGATTACCTCCCACCACCAATATTACTCAAACCTCCTCTAAATAGTGGTGCTCCACAACTCAGTTGGGACCCACTGTTTCGTTGAGTAAGAGTAGTATTAGAAGTGTTAGACACTTAGGGTGCTGGTT